AGCAATCGGAACCTATGAATGGGTAGTCATGCCGTTCGGCCTAAAGAATGCCGGCGCAACATACCAACGAGCTATGAACCTGATTTTCCACGACCTTATAGGCCGGACCGTGGAAGTCTACATTGATGACGTCGTTGTAAAGTCCCCGTCCAAAGCCAACCACGTAGGACATCTCCGACAAGCTTTCGACCGAATGCGAGCACACGGCCTAAAAATGAACCCCAAGAAATGTGCATTTGACGTCACCGCCGGGAATTTCCTTGGTTTCTTGGTTCACCAACGAGGAATCGAGGTAGATAAAAATATAGCTACGGCCATTATGGCGGCCCCTCCGCCGAGAACCAAGAAGGAGCTCCAATCCTTCCTCAGCAAGGTCAACTTTTTACGGCGGTTCATATCCAACTTGGCAGGAAAAATCCGGCCGTTGACTCCTCTGCTCAAACAGTTCGTATGGGGAGCAGAACATCAAGCCGCCCTCGATGACATCAAGAAATATCTGTCTCAACCACCAGTCCTTATGCCACCGAAAAGAGGGAAATCTTTGAGGCTTTACATTTCGGCTTCAGAAGGTTCTATCGGCTGCCTGTTGGCTCAAAACAATGAATCTGAGCGAGAGCAAGCGGTGCACTATCTAAGCCGCACCCTCAACACGGCCGAACTAAACTATTCGCCGATCGAGAAATTGTGCCTAGCGCTTTATTTCGCGGCCACCAAGTTGCGGCATTATATGCTTCATTTGGTCGTCCAGATCATCTCCAAGACCGATCTTATCAAATACATGCTCACTCGGCCGATTATACGCGGCCGAATTGGGAAGTGGACGATGGCATTGTCGGAATTTACCTTTCAATATGTGGCTCAGAAATCGGTCAAAGGTCAGGCATTGGCCGATTTCCTGGCTCATCACCCGGCCCAGGAGCAGGAGGGAGAGTTGGAGGTCGAGATCGGCATGGCCCTCATGGAAAAGAACTACTGGACCATGTACTTCGACGGCTCCAGTACCGAGGCCAGGTCAGGGGCCGGAGTCGTGATCGAATCCCCTCAAGGGCAGAGATGGCAGTTCGCTTTCCAACTTGACTTCAAGTGCACCAATAACCAAGCCGAATACCTCAAGGGCAGAGATGGCAGTTCGCTTTCCAACTCGACTTCAAGTGCACCAATAACCAGGCCGAATACGAAGCACTCATCATTGGTCTCGAAATCCTGAAAGAAATGAAGGCAACCCGTGTTCTAGTCTACGGTGACTCTCAGTTGGTAATTAATCAGTTGATCGGGGAATACCAGTGCACGAGCGAGAATCTCACTATGTATTATGTAACGGCCCTCAATACGGCCGACGCGTTTTCTAGGATTTCCTTTGTTCACGTACCACGTGCCAAAAACCATGAGGCCAACGAGATGGCCCAGGTGGCGTCAGGCGTGAACATCCCGGACACCGAATACGATCGTGTAATAAGAATCGAGAGGCGTACCCTGCCGGCTTTGGCCGAACGCGAAATGGCAACGCAAGTATCTTCGGCCGAGATTACCGACGAGGTCAACACGGCCGAAGCCGACTCGCGCTACCCCATAGTAAAATATTTGCGTGACCCTTCCGACAGCCATGAGAGGACTACACGTTTCCGGGCTCGGTGTTATTTGATTTATCAGAACGAGCTGTATCGAAAGGGATCGGACGGCTTATTACTCCTATGTCCCAACGCCGAAGACATTAAGGTCATCATGACCGAATCTCACGAGGGGATTTGCGGTGCCCATCAATCTGGCGTCAAGATGAGATGGCTGGTTCGGAGGCACGGTTATTACTGGGCGACCATTTTAAAGGACTGCATAGAGTATGCGAAAGGATGTATCAAATGTCAAATCTACGGCCCCATACAAAGAGTACCGGCCGAAGCCCTCCACCCG